GCATGAATGAGGAGACTTGAGTTTAAAGAGGCGGCTAAGATCAGGATCTGTTACAGCTGCTGACCTTCGATTAGCAGAGTCACGAGAATCTTTTAAGTTTCTATTTTCATATCTACTCCTTGATGTGGGGTGGAACCAAACTGCTTCAACGCCAGCACTATCTGAGCTAACAGCAGTCAAATTATTTCAGTGCTGATCCAGACTTCCTCTTTAGGAGCAGATGTTTTTAAGTTGACCTATATTTAATGTCACTGTGACTGTAGTTGCACAGATGTTGCTCCCGGCAGTCAAAGCATGAAGAGAAATAATCCTTCCATGTGCAGAGAAGGAAACTCAGCTCCCAGTACAGCACCTGGTGTGGCCCCCAGGCCAGGCAGAGCTGTGGCACCCCCCAATGAAAACAGGCCTCTTGACACAGGAAGAAGCTGAATTTTTTTAAAAAGATGTATGTGGGGGTGTAGTGAGTAGATAATCTTCATCTTACTGCTCCCACCAATTATTAACTAAGAATCTATCAGCCTTCCTCAATCCTAGAGGTGGCTGCCCAACACACCTGTTCACACGGCTAAGCTAGTACAAAAAAGGGAATTCTGGGCTTCTGCCCCTAATGAGGGTGACAGAATAACCAATTGGTGTCACACTGTGCAGGCTATGGGGACACATTAGTGATTTTTCACATTACCTGTTGCAACTGACATCTTAATTCTAACCTCCTGCCTCAGAAGAAAAAAAAATTACTTCCACAACTTCCTAAAATAGTTTAAATGCAAATGTGTAGGTTTGATTTGTGTGTTAAGGAAGGACATCAGAAATGCACTTGTTTTCTAAAGATGGTTAAAAATTCTTTTGTACTTAGAGGAGAATGATGACAGAATATCTAACTTTAAACTATGACAGACTAAATAGTTTTTCAGATTGATCTTGATGGTTAAGCTAGCTTGAGTTTCATACAGATAACTGCTGTCCACAGGCATGAAGAAGCACAATTCCTGTTGGCCATGTCCCCTGGGAGGAGAGGAAATTGCATTTGATCTCCTGCAGGGTCACGGCTGTGTCAGGGGCTTACAGCTGTATCCGAAAGTCACAGCTTTTGTTCATAATGGGAAAGTTAACTACATTTCTGGATTAGGCTTCATTACACCAAGTGAAATTGCTAGATAAAATCCTGAAACATTCTTAAAGGTCTTTCCTTCTAGAAAAGAAAGACAAACCTAATTCCTAGGTTTTATTTTAGTGATGCCTGAGTTTTAGTATGCAACTTGACTGATGTGTAGGTGGACTTAATTATATACAGAGATAGCATATTTTATTTTTTATGTTAGCAAACCAAAGAATGTCCTAGGAAGAGAAAGAAAAGAATGACGGGAGAAAGCACATGGGCCCAAGAAGATAGCATCTTAATGCTTACCAGGCCAGTTTCCTGGGGGCACCCTTGCCCAATCCCAAAGCTGGTAATTTTGGAAAGGAGCAAGTCCCTTCCTTGGAGGGCTAAGGATAAATGATCACCTAAGTCTACCCTTCAAGCAAACCCCACTGTCTTAGAAAACACACAGAAGTGCACCCATGCAGGCATACACTCGCACCACACCCGATACACTCTTTCATCCAGGTGCAGCCACACCCAATTACACATCCTCCTCCACGCCACGCAGACACACAGCAGCACCTACCTAGCACTGCTTTCCAAGTCTTGCATCCCTGAGGGTCATTTGTCCACATGCACCTCCCCCCTCCCCCACTCCCCCCCCTTGCCCCCCCTCCCCAATTTGC